GAGAAAAAGAGAGAGAGAGAGAGCACCGAGGCCAGAGGCATCATAAATAGAGGATTACGCCATGGAGCGTGAGCTGCAAGGCAAAATAACAAAAACAAGTTAAAAGCATATATATATATATATATGTATGTAGATGTGCGTGTGATTTTTTTGTTTTGAGGGGGGGGCTCCGCTGCTCCCTCTCCTTTACCTTTACCCTCTTACAGAATCCTCGGTTATCCTAACCATTTGTCGAATCTGTACACTAAGAGAACAGCCGTCCTCAAGTCGGAGCAGAACATAGAGAGTGTTGAAGCACGTTTCGTTAATCGAGCGGACTATGCTTGCGCCCCCACAGGTGTAGAGCTTTCATGTTGGTCGATTGTCAAACACCTGCAAAACCGAAGCAAAATTGCTTGAACCCTGGGCACGACCTTTCCGCTTGTGCTTGAGCTTCGAGTTCAGGCTGACTGTGGGTCACAAGTGGCGGGCTGTTCCAGACCAACATGCTGCCAGGATGACCCTCACTTTTAGAACTCTCCAAGCAGCATAATTAGCCGCCACAACAATGAAACTGCTCACATTTATGGAGCATCTGGTTTGGAACAACAGCGACTTGGTGAGAAAATTATCCCGCGCTTGAGGGAGCGGGCCTGAGGCCTGAAGCAGGGGGTTCTCCGGCTTCGTGTTGTATAAGTGTTTGGTGGCAGACTAGCATGCTCTTGCTTTGCGCGAGATTGTATGTATCGAAACCATTCACCTTGGACAGTCGTCGTGAACTAATGACGTGCTTAGGATGTAGAGTCATATGTAAGTCACGGGCCCGAGACCGAAAACCATAAACGTTCAATGTCAAGCCATTCAGCTGCAACTCTCGCACTAGAGTCTCAGCAAGGCAAACACGCCATCTTTCCGTGCGGAATCCAACCATTTGAGGTGACCCATGCACGCAAAACAACAGAAGCACCAACACAGATGTTTCGTTCTAGACTTTAAGCTGTAGTTGGCAAGTCGTTGCTCCACCCTTTTTTTCGCTGAACAACAACAACCTGGTAGCAACAGTGCACAGTACCCAGGCGCACAACAACATCAGCAAAAGCCTGTACAGCAACACTATGAAGCCCTTGCCATCGCCGCTCTTTGTGGCAAGGCTGCTGGCTCCAGCCAGCGATGAATTGAGGGCCAGGCTTCTGGCAAAAACGATGAATGTTTACATGGCAATGACTCAAAGTTGCGTTCATCCCAACAACAACTGTATGCACTGTCCCCTCACCCTGACTATTATGACCACAAAACCGACTGCACACTACGACTATCACATCCGTAATGGCAGCGGCGAGGCGACTGCTCCTGCTCCTGCTACTGATACTGTCATTGTTTGCTGCTGCTGCTGCTGCTGCTGCTGCTGCTGCTACTGATACTGATACTGCTGCTTCTGCTGCCTGTCATTGCTGCTTCTGCTGCTGCTGCTGCCGCCGCTGCTGCCGCGCTGCCGCTGCCGCTGCCGCTGCCGCTGCTGCTGCTGCTGCTGCTGCTGCTGCTGCTGCTTCTGCTTCTGCTACTGCTGGTGCTACCACTACTGCTGATGTTGGTGCTAGTGCTCGTGCTAGTGCTAGAGCTCGTGTGCGTGCTAGTGCTAGTGCTCTGCTACTGCCATGGCTGCTGCTGCTGCTACTGCTACTGCCACTGCTACTACTGATGCTCCAGCTCCTGCTCCCTCTCCTGATTACCACTACCACTCTTACCACTACCACCACCACCACCGCCACCGCGACGACGACAGGGACGAGACTGCACCATTGTATCATGCTACTGGTGCTGCATCGGAGATTGGGGTGTTCAGGGCTGCAGAAGCCAAACGGTGCAAGCTTCCAAGCCAGAGGTTATGAAGGGCGAGAGGTTCGGGAGCTTGGCAGCGGCGGTATTGTCAGGATTTCGCTGTGAGAAGATTGCTCATCAAAAGCCATCTCGGCATTCTAAGCTCCAACATAACTTCAGCAAATCTAGACTAAGTGCTTTGGAGTAGTACGTACGCAGTATCGCAATGTACCGGTCTTATATAAGACTAATCACGATATGTGCATCCTCACATGGAGCTTCTGGATGCTTCTGGCCCATCATTGTGTCGATGCCGGCTCGACGTCAGCCGCGGTCTCGATTTTGCCAGGTAGTGCGCCTGAGCAGTCTCGGCTTGCGCCTTGGGGCTCTGAGAGATGATGGCCTTGCAGTCAAGCGGGGGTCCAGAGCACGGATGAGCGCGGTTTACGAATTATAGTTGAGGCGTTTCGGATCTAGCTTTCAATTAACCTGGGTGCTGTGACCACAAATCCTCTAATACTCTGGCGCAACCTAGCACCTAGGGTTTAATGTTGGCAAGCAGCACGCCAAGGGCCAGCAGTCACGTAACGCTACATCGAACTTCTACTAGAACCGATCTAAGCCCAATCGACGGAAATGTGATGCCTTTGCTTCTTTCCACAATGTTTGGCTCACGTTCCTCGCGATTGCAGAAAAATTGAATGTCTCAGACTGTGAAAGGATGCAGCGCCTGAACCAGCAAACCCCTACCGGTAGGTGATCATGATTCGAACACAGGAGTGGTAGCTGTAGCGATAGCGATAACTGCAGACAGGTTATGTGTCCACTGTGTGCCCCATGTGACACACACGAGACATGCCAGGCGTAGTAGATGTAGTAGTCGTCGCCGTCGTCGTCGAAGTCGTCGTCGAAGTCGTCGTCCTCGTGGTCGTGGTCGTGGTCGTGGTCGCGGTAGTGGTAGTGGTAGTTGCACGAGCAGCAGCAGCAGCAGCCGTCGTCGTCGTCGCCGCCGCCGTCGTCGTCGTCGTAGTAGTAGTTGTAGTAGTAGTAGTAGTAGTAGTAGTAGTAGTAGTAGTGGTAGTGGTAGTCGTCGTAGTAGTAGTAGTAGTAGTAGTAGTAGTAGCAGCAGTAGTAGCTCGCAAGCAGCAGCAGTAGCAGTAGTCGTCGTTGTCGTCGTCGTCGTAGTAGCAGTAAGAGTAAAACTAGTAGTACGAGTAGTAGTAGCACAGCGAACGTCCTGTATAAGCCCCCACTGTTTAAGAACCTTAGCCCCCACCCCCGGCGGAATTCAACAAATTCTGGTTGCTTCAAAATTAGGAAAATTAAAAACTTTAGGGTGCCCTAGCTTTCGGGATCAAGCTCTTATCTTCTGTTGCGTGGAGGTGGTTGCGTTTTGTTATGCAAACACCGGAAATAAGAACCTCAGGCAAATTCCGTCTTGGATGTTTTTGGCACGGGCCGGCTGCACTTTGCACATGAAGGAGGCCCTTCCTAAACAAAGTGCATTCTCCGTTTTGGGGTGGTTTTTGTGTACTAAACGGACGATCCGTTCGCATGAAGGGAGCGGTGGTGGTGCTGGTCGTGGTGGTTCGAGTGGCTTTGCTAAGCACAGCTTGTGGTACTTGGCCGTAGCAGTGGTAGCCGCTAACAGTCAGTAGTGGTCGTCGCCATAGTAGCGGTAGGAGGCAAAGGAGCAGCCGTCAGCAGCTATAGCTAGAGTAGATGTCCTCGTCCCCTAAACCCTAAACCCTAAACCTTAAAGCTAGACCCTATAAATTCACTAAACCTCCCCCGCCCTCCCCCAAACCCTTGCGAGGTGCCTTCCAGCGCCATGGCAACGGCCATCTGTGCTTCGGTCACCGTGTCCATGGGACTCGACCTGTAGGGTTTAGGGTTTAGGGTTTAGGGTTTAGTACTTGGAGGCTTATGGGTAGCTATCAGTGAGGTGATAAGGGGACTTGGAACCCCACCTATAACCACCCCACTCGTAACTACCCATGAACCTCCGAGTAGCCCCACAGAAGCTTGAAACTTCAGGGCTTAAGGCGGACAGGGTTGAGGCCTCAGGACCTTGGAAGTGAAGGTTGAGGGCTTCGGGTTCCAGGGCTTGGGGTTCAGGGTTCCACTTGGAGGCCCAGGGGACTTAGTAAGAAG